AAAAAAAAAAAAAAAAAAAAAAAAAAAAAAGAAGAAAACAATCATAAAAAGTCAAAAGGGATTCTAATTACTTTATCATCTGTTTTTCTCTTAACCTCCCTCCTCCTTTTTTTTCAATGCAACGACTAACCTGCGACGTTCTAAAGGAACTCGTTCAGCATCCATGCTTTCCCACTGTTGGGCAAGGTGATTTACACAGTGACTACAAGCTAACACTCTGCCATGACTATCCATACAGGCATTCTCCGACGTACGTAGCATTCCTCTTAAACATGGAAAATGCATAGCGTGCGAATTCATTCCTTCTGGGCTCGTAGATAACCTGTCAATGATAAAGTAACGTGACAATTCAAACAATTAAATTACGTAGTAGAAAAAAGAAAAAAAAAATGACAGTCATCTAAAGCTTGTACCATTTCATATGAGAACGAGGATACAATCTCTCACAAATATAGCACCTATAATTTTGGCCGAGAACGACAGTTCCGTTTTCAGCGGGACCGTTCGGAGAATTTCGTTGCCCAGGAGTGGATCCTTTTATGGTTGCGCTGCGTTGTTTATTCGTAGCAACGCTCGATTTGTTTAAATCGTACGGCTTGAAACGAATATCACTACCAGCAGAATTGGCCGGAGACTTTGCCACCGCAGGTCTCGGTGAGGGACCTTGCTGTCGAAAATCCACGCTCTGTCCAGACGGCTGAGCCTCGTGATTCTCTCCACCAAATACTTGTTGCTTCTGTGGTATAGTTTTATAGCAAATGGAGCAAACTTGCACCATTCCCTGAGGGCTAATAGGACTAGCTCCTTGCGGAGGTCTCAGAGAATAAATAAAAGGATAGTACGCCTCCTTCTCGGGATTAGGACAGCAATAAAGGAGTCTAATACTGGACGAAGGGTACTCAAGCGCGCAAGTATAACAGATAAAAGTAGTTGTATCCATAGTTGGTGCTTGTCGTTTACGAAGCGTATAATTCCGATCATCGTGCGGGACTCCTTGCCGGGTGTATGCCTTCCATTGTAACAGAAGATGATTTTGACATGCTGAACAGGCCTATAACCAAAAATACACGTTAAAGCACATATTAATACATTTTAAGTACAAAAGTCACGTATTTATAGTTGGTTGGCACAAAAGTTCGTAGCGTCTTTTAATAGGTGGCAGAATATGAAATGAATCTTTTTGATTTTCATTAATTGTCGAAATAATTGATTGCACATGTTCAACTTAAAAGTAACAATTAAGTGTTTTTTTTTTCTGCAGTTAGTTTTCTTTGTTTGTTGGAATTTTAGGAGTGTACATAACAAACTAAAATGACAGAAAATCTATCTGATGCTGTTTTATTTCTGGGAAGATATAATATTATATATCTGAAAATACCATTCGTTTGTTTTAAAAATGATAATTTTGATTTGGAAGATCGACAACGTTTCGGCAGCTCCGTAAGCATTAATGGTGATCAAATATTGGCATCTACTAAAAATAATTCACGCCACACCACACAGGATATCGCAGGAATATTCCACATATATATCTAATGTGAGCGTTAAGATATTTGAAATCAGTTGACTATGTTTGTGCGGAGACCATATATTTTTATTAGCAATTAGCAGGTATCGTATCAACATGTATGCCTTTGTAAACCCGACAGAAATTGATTGGGATGTCCTGCATATTCATCTGACTTGGCATCCTCTGATTTCTACTTGTTCAGATCTTTACAAAGCTATTCCAATGGGAAGAATTTTCTTTATACTATATATTCTTTAGACGATTGTAAACACACGTTTACCTGAAACAATTCATCTCAGAGAAAAATGCCAAATTCTGAAGGGATGGGAACATTATCGTAGTTATCTTAAAAATAGCAAGGGATAATAGAACAAAATAATACATACTTAACTGTATAAATATAAATTCATGTATAAAAGTATAAAGGTTGTCTTTCATTTTCACGCTACGAATTTTTGTGTCAATATATATATATACGTGCGCGTAAAAGACAGCTTTTAACACGATTAGAATAAGGAATAACAATAGAATAATAATACATACTTGTACACGACCAGCACTATCCATTGGTCGGCTTCTGCTTGGTCTTGGATGAAGCATTAGCGAAGGAAAAAATGGCGGGGGACTGGCAGAGGGATGTGGCGGGGTTGGCAGTGGTTTTGCTGCAATATGACTAAGTGACCCTCTTTTGAATTCGTCTCCGCATACGTAACAGACTTCTGTAACTGAATTTTTGTCTGGCATCGAAAGGTCTAAAATATCAGTACCGGCACTCGATGTCGATCCACCACTGTAAATGGCTGTAATCCGTTTGATTAAATCATCACTAAATATTTATATTTACTAATGCGATTATGTCTGAATAAACATTAAGGATAGGAGAATATTTTATTACTATACACCACTATCAATCAGACGGCTTATTTTCACTGCGAAATTTTTAAGATATTCGGAGAATTTGTTACCAATTTCGTAATTACAACTGTTCTAGTAAGTTGGCTGAGTGAACGCGCGAGAACCGAGATTAAGATTGTCTCTATCTAACTTCGGGACGTAGATTATTCAATGTGAAAAAAAATGTATCAAAGTTCTTTCGAATATCGACGACACTATCTAAACGATAAACGCGCGAAATATCTCGATATGGTGTGAAACTTACGTTGAGGTTGTGGTGGCAATGTTGGCTGCGGCGCAGGTGAACTCCTGGGCGCATGTCTTAAATCCAATGCCGCTTCGTTAGATATCCTTGCATCTTCCACAGGCTGTCGAGGACTTTGTAACCTTTGATGCGGTGACTGAAGTCTTTGATGCGGAGACTCCATTGTGAGCCTTGCTTGTTCCAAGTGTCTGTGCGTTTCTGCCGTGTTCGAATGTGGTCTTGGCAGCTCAATGGAATTCGACGGCGGTCTCGTCTGTTCGACTCTGGGCGATGGTGAATTTAGCGGAAGTCGCGGGGATATTCCAATCGGTCGGTTTTCTGGTCGGAGCTGCGGTGTTTGATCATTGGTCAAGCCCAGGACCTGAGCCGCGTATTCTCCTTGAAGAGCCATCTCGGCCCCTGTGAAAGGACCACCATCGCATCGTTTCAGCCAATAAATTCGTTGACTATGAGGTCTGGCATCCTGCTCGTAACTCTCCCATTGCTGTAACAGCAAGGCGTAGCAAAGACTACACGCCTTGACCGCTCCGCTTCTGGCTCCATCGCCACGGTAGCCGGCAGGTGGTTCATGGGACTCAAGAAATGGAAAGTAAGGTTCATTTGGCGCACCACCCGGACTTGGCTTTACTCTCAGCCAATATTGTTCCCCATGGCCTATCGTGCCACAAATGAAACAAACTCTAGCTCCTCCGGCATCCTCCGTGGATGGGTTTGGTTGTGGATTTGCAAGTGATTGCCCGTCAAGTCCCGGCTCATTTTTCACATATAGATTACTTTCCATCATGTCAGGAAACCATTGGGTCTCTTCAATGCCCTTTTATATATCTCTGTTTGGCACGCATATACGATCACAAGTTGCAGTAATCGACAAAACTTTTAAATTTTGCAAGTATCTGGAAATACAAAAACATCCCATTAGTCAAGGATCTTATCATCATCAATATTATTGTTATTAAATATGCAAACAAGAGTTAAATGACAAGGAGTACAAACAGATGCAAGGAGTGAACGTTTCAAAGTGTTTATGGAACTTCGTTGTACGTTATTAAGTTCGAAGCCAACTGCAATCTTATTCTTGGCTGGGGAGAAATTGAAATGTTACAGATATGAAAAGAAAAAGAAACAGGTTTATTTAATTACATAATAATACTTGACAAATCAAGATATCGTATCGTATAAACAGAATTTTATATTCGTAAACATCTGCGCACTATTTTTCGTAATTACGTTCCATTGGAACGAGACATGGTCTTTGGTGCCACGTTGTTTCGGTTTAATGTAACAATGTGCGGATGGAAAAGAACACAGAAAGTAAACAAAAATGACTGGCCGATGATTCGTGTTACGGGTACAAATCCACCGTGATGACACAAACGAAAGGATCGAGAATACTATATTTTTTCCTTTTTTCGGGGGGGAGGGGGGAAGGGAGGAAGGGGGTAGGGGGAGGAGGAAGAAAAATGATATAAATAGAGTGTATTGTTAACTGTCGTACGCCCGTTATCGTTGGTGAAGCATTGCAACGCACGATGCTTTTAGAATACCGTAACATGTGGTATTTTTGGAGCGTTGGGCTACATCGACGTTTACCGACACCGACCATAGAACACATTTTCGGATATCGGCAACTGCAAAGAAACGAACGGGAGAGCTGCTTCGTGTTCAACTTTTGTGTTTACAGTGGTACTTGGTTGAGAGTACGATTGAAGGAAGAGATAAGGATGAGACACGAGCACGGCTCAAAGGTAAGCAGAGCTCGTCGAGGCAATCGATCGAATGATGCATTTTTCAATGACGAGGGCACGGTTGTCGACGAAAATAAAGCAAACGATGATGATTCCGCGGACTAATTTCCATTCTTTCGTCGCGAAAATTGTCGGAAACACGAGTTGGTTAAAAATATTTCAACGCAATGGTTGCACAGTGGATGGAACCGATCTGTACGTCGAAGTTTTCGCGATCGAAAACTTGATCGTGCGAGGTGAACGAGAATCGCGATCACTCGGGATGAAATTGGTGGAATTTTGACGGCGAAGTCGTCGGGAGCAACGCAGGAAAGGGATGCTGGATGATCGCGGACAAGGCATCCGTGGCACTCTCCTCGCTACCGAAATACGCACCCACAGGCACTTTCGTATGCACACGTTACATTTTGCATGGAACACTCACATTTTCACAGTTCGGAATGGGTGACCACCACATTGCTACTCTGTGGTGGTAATTTTGATTGGCGACACGTATTACTTGGGCGAAGCAGAGCTTCCTTATCTCGGGTTCTAGTCTCTGCCATACGTGGTCGGGCACCACACCGAGTTGCGGGGTGTCACCTTCGAAATAGCGTTGCGGCTCGTTACACACATATTTATATACACAGCGTATCGTCTCACACGAGCCGGATCCGTATTACACTGTCGCATGCATCGAGGGCACGATAAAGGAGTTTGCGCGACTATGAAAAATACATTTTCTGATGGCACAGCACCGCGACTTTGGCTCAATTCACCGCCATGTTGCAAAGTTACGATCTGCTTCCCATGATGCCACGCAGCTTCGTCATATGACAATGCCGCTGCGTCAGCCAATCATGCTGCAAGACGCATGCGCGTACACAGCAGCTTCTAACTCAACTGCCGCTCGGCACAATCTGGCACCACGTTTGAAAATTTTTTCACTTTAAATTGCGTTTGTTCCTGTCGCTGATACATGTTTATTAACCTTTTTATTTTCTTTCTCTCTCACTTTTTTTTTAAATAACAATTACAAAAGTCGAAAGTGAAACGCAAGAGAACATTTTTTTCAAACAGTATTTTAAAATTGAACGAATTTTGGATAATGCGTTGAAGTACGATATGCGAAAATATGAAGTACAAGTTGAAACATGATTAAACAATTCATTATCAGTTTAACAATCAATTAAACTTTGTATTCTTTGGATTAATAAGCTCACGTTAATCTACTGTTCTTAAAATCTATTATTTTTAATCACATGTAAAAAATGCTTGTTTAAAAATTCATTTTTAATGCGTTCATGCAAATGTTTTGTTTACATATCCGTATGAATAGCATGATTATTAAACTGAAAAAATATGGGAGTAAAAGATTAATTCAATCTTGCATGTAAGATACAGTCAGTCATTGATTGAATTTTTCATTGAATTTAGTTCGTAAAAAATTCTACAAAAGATTTAGTATAAAAAATAGAAGTCGTTCGTGATAAACACAATCAATGTGATGCAAGAATGCGTTAATATCATCAAAATAATTTGGATGTACCAAGATGGTTTACAATTTACAATCAGATGTGAAGTATCTTTTTATTTCATTTTTAATATCAGGAATAGGCACGTGGAATAAATGAGAATAAAAAATATACAGCGATTGATATTTTATAGTATTTAATCAACAGGTTGGGACACTGTACTTTTATAATGCTAAAAATTATTTTTTATGTACGATACCACTATTAAAGTGGAATCCTGATATAATACTAAAAAATAATTGGAAATACTTTAAAAATACTCTTTGCAAATGATAATTCTTAGAAATCCATTCTCTCTTATGTCCTCCGTTTTTCTACCATACAGATGTAACAACTACAATGATTTGAAATTTCTTCGCATTTATACAGAGAGTTAATTACAAATATTTGTTGCTTTTATCATAACGACGTTATCGTTGTAATTATTATTAAACTTATATGTATCGAATAAACGCATAGCGGTGGTATAAATCGTTTCCATCCTCAAGACCACGAACTATCAGTATTTGTAACATGTATGTATAAAACGGTTTTTCATAGCGCGTGCTTTCAAAACCATCTTCTAAATGCATAGAAGCCCATTGAACGTCGGTAATTAGAAAATTTTGAAAAAAATATTCTTATTTCCGCCACGCGAGGAGATACGAATGAATACGATACTGCATCAACATATACGTTTTCTCAACTTTGAGTTTGAATGTGGTTGTATATCTATTGTATTTGCGTTCTTTTTTTTTTTATAGAACCTTTCGGACTGATATTTGACTTAGAGAAGCAGCGTAATCACCATTTTCTTAACAATAAGATACAAAAATACTAAAGGAAATGAAACGAAACGTATAGATTAGAAAAGCGCAAAGAATGTCAGGAAAAAAGGGATTACGCTACGCCGACTTAACGCTATTATCTCTTTCCTTATAAATAATTATAAACTAGATCTGTTTTGCATTGATGAATGACTATAACAATTTCTTTGACTTTCATTCTCCTTGGTATCCCCTATTTCAACATGCATCCAAATCTCAATGAAATGCTACCCAGAGATGTTCGACTATATGTTTTCGACAACGCCAGCTCTCAGACGACGATGGTAACAATGACAACGAAAAGGTTTGTCGATCGAGAAGGAGAAAGAAGAATGATATCTCGGAAGAAGAGAATATAAATAATAAGTTAATATTCGTATTCCATTTTCTTTTGATTGACAGGAACAGCCTTTTCTCATGTGCTCCACTGAAAACGACCTATCGTCGGTTGACATATCAATTATCTCTTGTCACGCAAAGCACATTGATTAATATTCGCATTTCTTTTATTATGACTCTTTTGACTTAAAAGATGGCATTCGCAATTGAGTTTGTCAGATATAACATTTGGTGAACTCATGACTTTTACTCGCTTGACCCTAACTCACGGGTTATCTCATTTCTTATGTACATATAAACAGATATTACCGTAACAAGATATCCTTCTTGTACAGGACGTTACAAAAAAAGAAACAGCTCGTGGTGTCTTGTTTCCAATGTTATAATAATTTTTTTGTGTCGTGCAAATTCTATGTAACAACGATGCTGCTGCCTCACGGCAAATAAAATTTCATCGTGTTAATCACCGATTAATTGACAACCTAATGATCGAGCGATGTGAGTTTCACGGTCCTTTTGGATGAAACGTCTTCTACAAGAAGGGGAGCAGTATAGCGTTTTATGAACGATACTGCGTATGCATAATGGATAACGCACTATATTAAAAATACGAAGGGTCACCGGTTGTAATAAAATTCTTCATCTCAGTGCCCTGGCGTCATATCTCAATGAAAGTTGATACGTATAAAAGAAAGAAAAATGGGAATATAATCTATCTAAGAGGAACGAAAGTATCGAGAAGTGTCGTAAATGATAATTAAATGAAAAAAAAAAAGAAAAAATGAACTTGTTGGTTTGATCGCCGGTAAAAAATAAAAGAATCTATGTACGATAGACTAAACTTTACAATGAAATAAATTATACTATTCTCTCTTGAAAATAATGGCAGCATTGTTTTTCAAAGATCAATGCTGCTAATAGCACTTTTCGGTCGCGCAAAAGAAATAGCGATAATATTGTTATTATTCAATTAAGAAGTATCAATATCATATAACACTGTTGTAAATATATAGATAAGTGTTTAAACGAGAGTAGAATAGAACTTCATTTGTTACGAATTTGATTCATCGGAACGAAATCTCAATTAATGCCCGATTGGCTAAACTCCTGCCGAAGGAAACCACGCAAATTCCTATTATTCGTAGATAGCGAGAACAATCAGTGAATTCTTACTATATCAACTACTTGTTATTAAATGGATTCAGATAAACAGAATGTCTTGATGTTATAGGCGAACTCGCAGTTCTTCATCACATTGTTGACGAATCATTTGAATTTTTCCGCTGTTAAAGAGAACAAAAAAAGAAAATCTTTCGTCGCATCAATAAAACGAACGCATTCAAAAATCTGATAGATGATATTTTAAAATTTAGAGTTGATATAGATAGATAGATAAATTGATAAAAAAAAACATGCGCGCGCGAGAAAGATAGAGACAGAGGTAGAGAGAGAGAGAGAGAGAGAGAGATAGATAGATAGATAGATAGATAGATAGATAGATAGATAGATAGATAGATAGATAGATAGATAGATAGAGAGAGAGAGAGAGAGAGAGAGAGAGAGAGAGAGAGAGAGAGANTAGATAGATAGATAGAGAGATAGATAGATAGAGAGAGAGAGAGAGAGAGAGAGAGAGAGAGAGAGAGAGAGAGAGAGAGAGAGAGAGAGAGGGAGAGGAGGGAGGGAGAGGAAAGAGAAGTAGAGACGAAAGAGAAACTCAATGCGTTTTCTCGATCTGGCAAGCAAAGATTCTGCAAAAGAATCTCTGAAAGATGTAGAATTTGTTGCGGCGACGTTTTCAAATATCGTTACCGTTTACCATGGAACTCTCCGTTGCTAAAGTTCTTTTTTGAATTTCTTCGGCAGACGAGTTACCGTAACTAGGTTCGATGGACTCCGACAGCAATTTTGGATTGTGTTTATCAACGTGGGTCAGCTCGATCGGAAGATATATCGTCCGACAATGGTCGATATCGGCTCGACATAGGGGACAACGCTCGCATCGTCTAGCACAGTCTAAGCAGGCTACTGCGTGTCCACAGGGAAACAAGGCGGTATCTAAACTACGGTCCATGCAAATGCGGCACAGCATCGCGTCCAACAGCCTTGCTAGACACTCCCGAGATTCCTGAAATATGAAGAATATGAAACAATTGTCGCCAATTCGACCGCCGGTCCTCTGTCAATTTCATCGATTATCTATATACCTTGCATTTGGGATCCTCGCAGTCTCCGCAATCATGCTTCTCCAAAATTTCCTTCTCCTCTGGCAAGCTAACGGTCGCAGCTTCACAGTAGAGAGCACGCCGGGCGTTGTCGTACACCTCTCGACACGTTCTACGAATGTCGAACACGTATTTCTTCCCTAACGTCGAGTCCTCGTTGAATATCGAGATAATGGTGCCCTGTAACGAGCATTAATTATCACAGTAATAGAAATTATTCTCCGTGGCTTGTTAAGTAGTTAGTCTTAATAATAATATGTACCTTCAAGTCGCGTATGAATTGGGCTGTAACCGCGCTCCTGACCGTCTCGCAGCTGTAAAACGCGTGCTTCTCGGTAATCGCCCGGTAAAGTCCACTGGCTGATTGACTCGAGTCCAATTTGAAATTTAACGACGTTTCCTCGCCGTCGAGGGAGAGGTAAACCAAATGAAACATTCGCCGTTGGGACGTTGCACTTTGTATCGCCGTATATGGTATGCTGCAAAAAAAACAGATAGGACAGTGTTATTTCGCGTGTTGTGTAAATACGCGTACAATAAAATCGAGATTGGAATACTTTCATTTCACGTACAACTAACACAGATATACAAGGCATAAACTTTTTCTTTTAAATATACTCTTCACATTAATAATATTATTATTATACCAGTATACTTATTTTTTTTAGAATAATTCACATTTTAAAAAAAATTTAGGAGGAATAAAGCAACAAAATAATGAAAAGATACAAATTAAAGGAAGAAATAAATTGAATAGATCACGGTTATCCGAGGGTTAATGAGCAAATAAAAAATTAGATACCATTAATGACGTGTTCACGCTAGCGACAACGTACTATATATTATACACGAAAGCGATATAGGCATATCTTTGACCTCGGTCAACTTTTCGAAAAAATTTTCGGCGTTTAGTCGTTGATCTTCAGTTTTAGCATCGCTCGAAGATCAAGTTCACATCGAGTAATCGGTAACACGTACTTTTGCGTTTCCTCGTCGTGATTACGATAAACCGTGATACCGTGGGGCCCGACTCCGATCATCGATACTCCGTTGTATCCGAATTTGCTGTGGAACATCTCCTGGCCGAACGTATCCAAATTGGACACCTCCTTCAGTAACCAGTATTCCGCCGTGGAGGTTTTCATCCCCTGGAAGAAGAAAGGAAGATATAACAGCATATGTAAATGAATCACGATCAGGTGACGGTACGATTTTTTGACCGATTCAGCAAGTTTTTTCGAAAGCAACGAATCTTATTTTTACTGAAAACTCTCATGGGCGTTCTTCTTTTGTTTATTTATCCATTTTGCCATTTGCAGGCTGAGATGGATATTGACTACTTAAATTGAAATTCAAATCCCCCATTGATGATAATAAATAAAGCAACACTCTGCCAATCAATTTTTCATTGAGAAAAAAAAAAGACGAATATATATATATTTCGAAAACGCGCACGAAGGTTTCGAATCGCAGCATCACGTCTCGGTATTTTCGTTACACAACTTTCTGATCAAACATTTACGAGCCTTTTGCCAAACGGCTCGCGAATGTTCAACGGTATTTTTTTAGTTCTATTTTTATAGGAAATCTGCCTGAATAAAACAGGCACTCGAAAGTTCTCACATTTTGGCGAATTTTAATATTGAATGGATTTTAAATCCTGGGGCACGGATTAATTTAATTTGCGTTATTCTTTTTTCTTTCTTTCTTTATGGGGGAATTTAACTCGAGGCAAGTTGAAAGTCGAACGGATTATATGCTGGGCTCGGGAAAGATAGCTGCGAACCTTGATTTCCTTGTGTTGCTGAACTATCCGATGGAGAAAGTCTTGAGGTTTCGATTCGCACGGTTCCGCTGGTTGAATTTGGCAACATTGCGAGTAGAGTGCGTTCGGCGGTGACAACGCGTCGTAATCACCGGTATCAGCCTGCGCTATCAGGGCGATCAAACGCGCCACAGAACCCCAATCCGGCACTTTCAATCTACCCTCGAGTAACTCCAAACGAGAGTGCAAATAGAATTGATGCCTGAAATCAAATAAACAGCCAAGATAGATCAACAGAGAAAAGATCGCTGTCTAATTTTATTTACTAACGATTTACTTCGATTTCAGTTTAAATGTCAACTAATTGATTGACCAATCGTTCGGAGGATCCAGGCTTGTTCAATTTTTTAATTATTCATTACTTCGATCTTAACTCGAGCGATCTGCCTTGCGAATAAATATCAATTCGTTTTTGGAGGATCTAGACTTGTTTAATCTTTCAACTATCAGTCTAACGTAATTTTGTTACACGAATAAATACCAATTTTTTTTTTTTTTTTTTTGGAGGATCCACGCTTGTTCAATTTTCATAGACACTTTATTTGCATTTTTTAACGACGTGACTGCCTCTCCAGTAATATCATCACTCAATGATTCTGAATTTCTTTTTTCCTTTTTCTTTTTTTTTTTTTAGAAATCTATAATTCATACAGTATTTTTCCTTAGAGGAATGTCTAAGTAATTTTAAAAATAAATTTATCGTAGGATCGTTAATACGAAGTATAAATTGTAGATGTCAAGTGACTTAGCTATTTTGAACTTGTGAGATGTGGACTTTTATTGCCATTATTATCGTGTAAATTTCAATCGCGATAAATGTTAATTTTTCATATTATACAAGTTCATTCATTGGATTCAGTAAAAAACGAATCTCCGAATGATTAGCATGTAAGAAAGAACGCTTCGTTCAATTATACTGAAGAAAAAGATTTTTAAATTATTATTTATTATTAGCTCTTTTTTTTACTGGATCTTTTTACGACTCTTATTTATTGCTGGATGTATTACTGTTCATTTTAAACGAATGCACAATGTACGAACGTAAAAAGAAAAAAGAAGAGGTAATATTAATGTGATGCTTGGCATTGCAGAGTTTCAGCTAACTTATCACAAGTTAAAAGAAAATACACACGTATACTTATAAAAATAGAAATAAAAATAAAAATAAAAATACATATTTATAAAAAGTAGAAATAAAAATACACACACGCATATTTATAAAAATAAAAAATAAAATTTCCCAACTTGAGACATTTTTCTTCTTTTTAAAATTCGTGCTTCGAAGAATCGGACACTAGCAACGCGGCTGTACGATACACGTCAAAAAACACGTTTGAACGAGTTACACAATAGCCTAATAGATGAGTATAATCGATATACGGAATATTTGAGAAACTGCATGGGCGCAGTTTGTTCTGTGGTTGTTCCCGTTCGACGCGCGAATTTAACGGTTGATCGAAATCGGCAATCGGAGTCCCGATGAACTTGGGTAAATTCGAGTTGTATCATTTCAGAGTAAACTTGGACGTGGAGATCGTTCGCCACGTTTGCCAGCAAAGTTATTCTGTCCGCTAATGAACGAGCATCGACACGTTTGATCGCCCAACACTCGCAACGAACGCAATTTCATTTAGACATCGTCCACGGCGATCAAACTCCGTTTAGTAAAATGGAAATGAGAAAGTTTCGCGTCTCGGATCGAGTCCTACTGGCGAACAACAGTAAAATAATAATTGTCGACGAAAAACAGGGGGCGCTGAATTTGCAAATGATTTCTCTTTCCAATTTTAATCCTTCCAAATGTCGGCACTGCTATATGCCGAATGTTCTCGCAAAATGGAAAGAGATTGAAGTCTATGGAAAAAATGTTCGTCTGGTAAAAAAAGGGCCTTTCAGGTTCGTCTTTCATATTTTTGTAAGTAGAGGAGAGGAGGAGATCTTATATCGCGAGTATTTTGGAAAGTTTTTGCTCGAGTTTAAATTTCATAAAATATTTCGATTGTTCATGGTCTTCAATGTGAGCGTGTAACTTACATAAGGTAATAAGATAGAGCAATAATCATGCATACATATGCTCCAGTGACGCTACAGTATTATTGTTCTATACGCGCTTCACTCATAATACCATTAGAGTCATTTCTAAGCAAATGTGCAGATGCGTTTCCTACGTTCATTTATAAAACATAACCTTCAACATAATACTCTGTTGGGATAAAAATGTTGTTTTAATATATATAGGAATATAGTACAATAATATTATATAATTATATTATATTACTATATAATATATAGAAATACATACGCTAAATTTAATATTTAATTATACAATAATAATAATAATAATAATAGCTATTTTAATGTATACAGTAATGTAGTACAATAATATTATATAATTATATTATATTACTATAATAATATATAATAATATGGCAATATAATTAATATGATAATGTAATAACAATATAAAATATATATAGTAATATATATTTTAATATAATATTAATATATATAGTAATATAGTACAATAATATTATATAATTATATTATATTGCTATATAATGTATAGTAATACATACGCTATATTTAATATTTAATTATATAATAATAATAATAATATATATATATATATATGCTATTTTAATGTATACAGTAATGTAGTACAATAATATTATATAATTATATTATATTACTATAATAATATATAATAATATAACAATATAATTAATATAATAATGAAATAACAATATAATAATAATATAACAAAAAAAAAGAAACAATCTATACATATATACATATTTTCATTCCATTTTTCATTATAATAACGAGGCGAGAATAAAAATTATTCACTCGTACAAGAGATACACTGTTACGTCGGAAAGGTTAATTAATTTTCTTTGCTGCGTCAATCGATCTGATCGAAATGGCAATCGTGGACTTTCACGTAACCAATAGATTCATGATCGAAAGTTTGTATTGATGTTTACGAACCGGGTGACATTTATCACGGCGAAGGAAGATACGAACTTGCGCAACTGCAACGTTCACGAAGTTCTCGCAGGATCATTAACACGTTTAATTGCTGCTCTGGTCATTTGGGACTCGCTGATTTTCTATAATAAATATTCAACAGCAAAAAAAAAAAAAATCATATTGAAGTCATTATTAATAATATTATTAGTAATTATAAGATTATAATATTAATATATATAGTAATATAGTACAATAATATTATAATTATAATATAATTGTATTATATTACTATTATATTATATTATATTACTACATAATATATAGTAATACATACGCTATATTTAATATTTAATTATATAATAATAATAATAATAATAATACTATATATGCTATTTTAATGTATACAGTGATGTAGTATTAAATATATATATACATATTAAAATAATGACAGAAAATTTTTGTAGTAAATTTTAAGTATTAATATTAATACAATGACATTAATATTAATATTAAAATAATGACAGAAAATTTTTATAGTAAATTTTAAGTATTAATATTAAAACAATGACATTAATATCAATATTAAAATGATGACAGAAAATTTTTGTAGTAAATTTTAAGTATTAATATTAAAACAATGACATTAATATTAATATTAAAATAATGGCAGAAAATTTTTATAGTAAATTTTAAGTATTAATATTAAAACAATGACATTAATATCAATATTAAAATGATGACAGAAAATTTTTGTAGTAAATTTTAAGTATTAATATTAAAACAATGACATTAATATTAATATTAAAATAATGACAGAAATAACGAGATATTGTTGTAAAAACAGAAAAAACAAACGCGCTTTTATCGCGACGTAAAGGTTTTAAAAAAATTAAATATTCTCAGAGGCAAAATTGACGAATTTCGCGTGGCAATTAACGCAACGATTACCAAAATGGTCAAAGTGATTAATCCGCAACTTTTTCACAGAAATTCTATACGTATTTTTGCGACAGCATATTTCTGATGATTTGTTTCGATTCCTGACGAAACACGTGAACAAGACTTGATATTCTTTATCGCGTTGCAAATACTTTTCTATTCGTTGCGCCTGAACTGTTCTGGTGTCAGTTTTACATTTTAGTAAAATGTAAATTATACTTGGAATAACTTTTCTTGCTTCTCAGTCATTTCTTGAGAAACACGTGCAAACGATTCAGCCAGATAAGATCGTTTCGACTAAATATCACCGGATTATGCGATTATCAGGAGTGTAAATCCACAGTGGACGATGTTCGTGACAGCGATACGTTCCAACAGTTTGCATTGCGAAACGCATAAATATTCAGAAGATCGTTAACCGATCATTTCAGTATTTAACGCGATAAATGGATTCTCGACGAAACATTGGGCAATTCGAATCTCTCGCGATATTAATGAGGTTCGGAGCACTAGCACAATATGTTGACGTATGCATCTGCTCTAAATTACAGTAAAGAGCATAATAGATTTGTATGAAGCTTATTAACTGACTTTTACGCATTTATAAGAAATTCTGAAGATGCAGAATAATAAAATGAATGTAATATGCAAAAGAATATAATGAAAATATTCCGTATAATAATTAACACGCAGAAAACAATTTTCTATGTAATGTAAAAAAAAAAAAAAAAAGTTTACTTGTTGCTGCTAATATTAAAAGTTAACACAATACAAATCTTGATAATTAATTAAATAATTAGTATAAATAAATCTTTTAATATTGCAAATATTTTTTAAATTATCGATGACAGGAAATATTTATTGATTCAGTTTTGCAGAATGTTTTCCGCAATTATTCACGACTGACTGATAGTAATTATTACTATTCACTTATCACTATTTATTACTTATAACTATTAATTATTCACGACTGACTATTAGTAATAGTAATTATTTATAATTATTTATAATAAAGTTGTTCATAGAATGAAAATCGACATTTTAAATTTTGTAGCTCACGTTTTAAAACCCTTCGTGTTTCTAAAGATCATGCAATGGGTGACAAAATAGAAGATACTTTCGTTTTCGAAACCGATAAAAATTCAAACGTTTCTGAAATAATTCACGGTTGAATTCAGTATGGATGTAGGTCGAAAAATTTAAAAAATAACAAGGGTATACTGGTAAAATAACGTTTCTTCATTCAAGATTTCGTTTTCCAATTTGAAGATTTTTCAAAAATATTTGAATTCCAAATTTAGTCCAACTTTAGGCTAATAGTTAACAGGAGTGAATAATTGGTA